ACCAAACCATTGTACGATTCTGTGATTCTATGATAAGAACCTCTAGAATCCTAAATAATGCAGGAAAATGCTGCTTGGGTCACCTATGCCAGTAAAATTCAAAGTGATGTCATTTCATAGAATCAGAGATTGGATAAATCTTTTTAGCAAAGAACGTGATCCTGCAAAATAAGCTAGGAAACAGGCAATCACACTAAGGTTCAATGGCCTAGCTTCAGTTTGTTTCTCCTTCTGCTGAGAAAATATCTGAAAAGCCAGACAGGGAGCCTGCTTTATCATCTACTTTTAACCACATGCCATCTGGTCAGCCGAGCTCCTCTGGTACTTTCATTTCGCCAGCTAGAGCCCCCTGTCTTTTTCAGATGAAGATTTCATGCCCCTTACCTGATCCCAAGGTCTTCAAGGAAGATCTGTCGTATTTCTTCACCCACTCTTCTCCATAATTCAGCAGCAAGCGTATAGCTGTAGGTGCTCCATAAAATTGATTAATTTTCAACCTTTGTACCACTTCCCAGTAACGACCTGCAAATTCACAAACAGGCTTTTTTATGTCTAGCACTGACATACTGCTGCAAAAAGCAGGAAGGTTAACAGCCAAAGCTAAAGCTGTGACTACTGTGAGTATAGAGAAAACCAATAGCAACTTCTTTTTTCTTTTTTTCCCACCCTGGATGCACAGATGTTCCTGAATGTCGTAGACACACATGCCAAAGAAACGGAGCTTGCCTCCCCTGAGCAGGCAGGTCACACTGGACAGATTTCTAAATCTCCATTGTCACACTGCCATGTCTAGCCAAACTTTGGCCCACCACTTCCTCACCTGGGTCAGGGTACACGGGAGTGCTTTCAAATAGGACAGAGGTGGCTCCATTGCAGAGTGGTCCATACACAACATAGCTATGTCCCGTGATCCAGCCAATGTCAGCCACACAGCCAAAAACATCGCCTCGCTGGTAGTCAAATACATACTGCAAAGATAAATGTAAGGCCAGCTGACTTTTGGTCTGCAGGTACAAAGAGCTTAAAGATAAGGCGCTGGGCTGGACATCTAAGTGCGAGCAAGAGAGTGCATAGGGCAAGTGGAGCCAGGCACGCAGGACACAGCAGCACAAAGGCCAGCCTGAGGTGAGGAAGCAAGTCAGAGGGACCCGTACCAGGGCTTCTAGGCTCCTGACTGCTTTTGCAAACATGCAGGGAGCACAGCTGTACCAGCAGCTACTCAGATTGCAGCAACAAAGCTACAACCAAAGCCCAGAGCCCTGGAGACCTAAGGTTGCCTACTCCAGGCAAGCCCATGTGGGAGAGCTGACCCTGAACTGCAGGGAAGCTGCAGGCTTCGGAGGCTCAGACCCCTGACCAATATCAACAGGTTTCCATGAGAAAGCTGGAGAAACTGATAGATGCCCATGAAACGTTTCTGAGAAATGTTCTCAGCTGCTCAGCTTCAATATCACTGTATCACTTTGCAGATGCTACCCTCTCCCCGCTCATGAAATTTAAGATAAAGGTCTTGGAGAACTCATTGTCTTGTCTTGGTTATGGAAAATGCTTCCCACTGTAAATATAACTCCTCTACCATAGCATGAAGAGGTCCTGACTCATAAGGCAGAGTCAGCTTTATGTTTTAAATGAAAGAAAGAGGATCAGAACTAAAAGACACATGAGTGTGTGACATGAGTGTGCAAAAACCACAGAGGCCACACAGGTCAGCTGATCCCTCTACCTAGAAGAGCCAGTTCTCACCTTACTTTGGCAAATGCCTTTCCCTCTCAGGCTCTGCAGTACCTCTACAAGGACCGCAGCTGCACACAGTGGCTCCCTGCATGTCCACACCAGGGTGCCGGATCTACCTTCTGGACTAAGAAAGAGATGCCTTGGAGATTAGGCCATCACTTAGAAAAGCTGACGTAACAAATACCCTTCAGGAAGAGAAGTCTGACGCTTGCACATTCAAATCTTCTAAAAATTCAACTATGTCAGCCTAAAGAAAGAAAACCTCTGCCTGAATTGTGTGCAATTACAAACACAGTGATACCACTAAAGCCAGATGGAGATTTTTCACCGCAGTCCTCTCCACATTTCCCTGTTAACTTTTCATATGCAGAGTTCAGATCAGAAGCTTCAAGAAGCAGTGCCTTGACTTTTTTTTTTCCCATGAGAAAGGGAGTTGAAACATTTAGCCTAGATCACACAGAAAAGCAGCACGAAGGTGCAATCACAGAGCACAAATGTAATTTTTGATCTTCAGACAAATGCTATGCAAAGAGGTTGTTTTAAGAGTCCAGATCCTCACTGAAATAAAAAAGGCCAGCTTCCCACTGCAAAATACTACAGTAATAGCCACATTACTAATGCTGGTAAGATACTTAACAGAATCTCCTCAGCTGCCTCACTTTAATGTCCACAAATTCTGGCCTGCAACACTAGCACATTTTAAATGCAAAAGTAGCACCACTGCAGTTTCCTTCCTTTCATAACTCTAGGCTCTGGTTTGCATAGTATTGTATTCCCCAGGAACAAATCCTGAAGATTAATTACACGTTCACAGACATTTTTCAGTTTGTTTACACCCAATAAGCCAACTGGGCAGTGAACAGAGAACAC